AAAAAAAAAAAAAAAAAAATAGCTCGTGTTAATCCATCTATATATATCTATATATATAGTTTTGTTTGTTTGTTTGTTTGTTTTTAAGAGTCGGTGTCTCGCTGTCATCCAGCCTGGAGTGCAGCAGCACACTCATGGCCACCACAGCCTCAACCTGCTGGGCTCAGGCGATCCTTCTGCTTTAACCTTCCAAATAGCTGGAACTACAAGCACACACCACCATGCCTGGCTAATTTTTTTATTTATTGTAGAGACAAGGTCTCACCAAGTTGCCCAGGATGGTCTCGAACCCCTGAATTCAGACAATCTTCTTGCCTTGGCCTCCCAAAGTGCTGGGATTACAGGTTTGAGCCACCGTGCCTTGCCAATCCATCTATATTTTAACAAACAATTTAACTAATGATTTTGAGAATGGGAGAGTCTTGAGGCACTCTAAATATTTTACTTTTACTGTTAGACAAGAATTCTAAGGCTATAAAATAAAGTTTCAGGCCTGTTATTTACTGAAAAATAAGTCAAATCTCAAAGCAAAGCTCTTCTTTTGTGAATTAATCATATAAATGACTATATATTTTATGCCTTATAAATCACTTTTGATGAATGGTGTGTTTTATGGTTTGCAAATCAAAGTTTTAATCAAAGTTTTTAATTAATTCTCAAAAACACATTATCATAAATGGCACTATTTGGCATCAAATGTGGAATTTGGCCATTCATTAGGGTCATTTTAGGTATCTCACATTCTACTTTGCTGCACTTAATTCCTGATAGCATGACATTTTCTGAAATGTTTCAGGGGTGATATCTCTGCTGTTTTGGCTATAATTTGTAATTATATCTGTTGATTTATTAAATGAAAAAGGTAATGGTGTCATCATGGATGAAGAAACAAAAACAGAACATTTGTCACATTTTTCAACTTTTTTTTCCTTTCTTATATAAAAATACTGTATGTTCATTGCCCCCAAATTGGATAGTATATGAAATAAAAAAGAGGAATATAGCCGGGCTCGGTGACTCAGCCTGTAATCCTGCGCCTTTGGGAGACTGAGGTGAGTGGATTACCTGAGCCCGCGGGTTCGAGACCTGCCTGGGCAGCGAGACCTCATCTCTACTAAA